TTTTAATAATATATATCTTTATTTAATTTTAAAAAAATATATATCCTCCCTTCTTACCTTTATTGAGGAGGAGGGGGGACATATTTTCATCCCTGGTGGTCCCAGTGGTTACAGTGAACTCTAGCCCGCGCTCCCGGGCTAGAGTTCACTCTCGCGAGATTTGGAGCGTTGCTGTGGTAACCGCGGCAACGCTTCAAATCTCACGAGAGGAGGACCCGGAGGAGCTGCAGACTGAGCTCCGGGTCCTCTCTCTCCTCCCTCTCCCTCCCCCTCCCCTGCCGGCTGTCAGCACAGTGCCTGCGGACCGGGGAGGGAGATCTCTGATCTCCCCTCCGGTCCGCAGGCACATTGCAGGGCTAGCACCTGCATGTGCTGCTGGCAGGGGAGGGAGACCGGCGGATTTCTCGGGGGGGGCAATTGCCCCGTTGCCCCCCCCTGGATCCGCCAGTGCCTGAGGGTGCCCCACTCCCGCCAGGCTGGATGGCAAGGAAAGGGGTTAAACTTAACTTTTTTCCAGCGCCGGGCGTGGAGCTCTCCTCCGCCTCTCCGCCTCCGATCATCCTCTTCGGCTGGCTGCGCACGCATTCAGCCAGTCTCATAGGAAAGCATTCATAATGCTTTCCTATGGACGCTGGTGTCTTCTCACTGTGATTTTCACAGTGAGAAGCACGCAAACGCCTCTAGCGGCTGTAAATGAGACAGCCACTAGAGGCTTTAGAGGCTGGATTAACCCATTTATAAACATAGTAGTAGCTATGTTTATAAAAAAAAAGGGTTAATCATAGAGGGACCTGGCACCCAGACCACTTCATTAAGCTGAAGTGGTCTGGGTGCCTAGAGTGGTCCTTTAATAGAAGATATTCCCCTGTACAGAAATTAAGGAATTTTACATTTATGTGTACAGAGTATGTATATACAAGTTTATATTTTATTTCCTTTACCACATGTATAGGTCCAGGTTTGGGCCTGATATAAATTTAGACAGTCAGTTGCAACACCCAGTCACATAATTACTAAACAATGAAGGCTCAAAAAGTGCATGAATACCCAGGACAGACAAAGAAAACTTAAAATGTAGAGAGAGAAACATGAAATTGCAGGGTGACTAACTAAAATGCATATGATAAAAGTCGATATGGCCTAGTGTGGGCCAAATACAGTAAGCAGAATGAGGCATCGCTGCCAAATACAGTAAGCAGAATGAGGCATCGCTGCCAAATACAGTAAGCTATATATGAATGAAGTAGGCTGAATTTGCATTACTAGTAAAATTTGCCATATGCGAAAGGTTGAACAAACAAACTTACGGTTTTGTCGTAAAAACAACAGTTATAGAAGCCGAGGCTGGGCTGGACGCTGCAGTAACCAATGAGCTTCTAGTGAGGCGGCTGTTCACTAGAGTGAGGCAAACAACTACTTGCTTGGGCCCTACTAGACCAAGACCAGCTTGTTTGGAATTTAGGCAGTTTGTGTTGATGACCTTTGAACTGGAAATAGATGGTTCTGTACTGAATCAGACAGTCTCATCAGCCTGTAACTCGCCAGACCAACCATAGTGAAGTGAGAGAGGATTGGATGCCCTTATAAAGGGGAACCAAGCCCCTCCCACAACTACAGGCCCAGCCTTAAATATATATATATATTATCTAAAGCAAAAAAATAATTAAAAGAACACTCTCAAATTAGAAATACGTGTATTTATTTATAGCATTATCCAGCCCCTATAAAACACACACATTTTCTATATCCCCTAGGCCAGGGGTAGGCAACCTACGGCACTAGTGCCATGCACGGCACTCAAGGTGTCTTTGCATGGCACTCAAGACTGCTAGAGCCAAACAGGCTCTGGCCTATCAGGAGTCCCAGTAAACCTTCAGATATCTGCTAATACGAAAAGGTAGTGAAGGACAATTCTCAATTTATGCATTGTAGCACATAGAGGAAGTGATCTCAGATCTGTAGTAGAGCAGCCTGCAGCTGCTGTTGCAGCTCCTGTCCTTGACCTGTACCAGGCCAGCCTGGTCCCCACTGGAACCCAGGGAAGCCACCCACACTGCTAGATATACACAGAGATGCAGAATAACCCTCTCCTCATACAAATAACACGAACAGCCCACAAACAAACACACAATCCGCACAAACGTAACCCGCTAGCAATCCACATACATGCACACAACCCCACATGCAGCCTCTCACATGCAATGCCCAAAACAGCCCCCACACACTACCAAACACACAATGTGACATCCATCCACACACAATTCCACAAACAGCCCTCATACACAGCCCACATTCATATGTATCATACACAATACCATAAACTACTAATGAACATATACAATATAATAGTTCCTATACGCACAAATACAACAATACAAAGCAATCACAGTAAAAATAATACAAGCAGAATACAGCAGCATACAGACCTCAATTTAAAAAAAAAAAGGACCGGCACGCTACGGGACATCACACTCCTATATTGGCACAGTGCTGCTAATAGGTTGCCTACCCCTGCCCTAGGCAGACACTATGGCAGCTATACACACACTAAAACCCAACACACAACACTTAGCCACACTTAGCCTAACCTCACATACAGCTCTCCTACAAATACACAACACTCAGCCAATACTCACACACACACCAGATTGCACTGCTAAAAACCTGTGTCCCTTTCAATTTAATTCTTAACTTTTCTCAGGCCTTCTAACTGGCAGATTAACCCATAACTATCTAGTTGTAAATAATAACATAATTCTTTACTACATATATTTTATAAGATAGACATATAGGGGTATATTTATCAATGTTTTGAAAAGAGATGGTTAAAGTCCATCATTTTTTGTTCGTATTTATTAAAGTGTGCTAAAAGGTGACCATTTGCTTTTTAACAAATTCCATCAGTTTTCTAAGAAATTTCCATTTCATAAGACTGCCAAAGTTGGAGCTGTGGGAGAAAGATAACTGAAACAGAACACTTTTCAGTTGGAAAAAAAAGTGATGTAAAATTCATAAAAATATTACGCCGTCTAAAAAAATTGTGTGTATTGCAAAATGATGGTTAAGGTGCAAAAAAAGTACCAGATTGATAAATTTGACAGATAGAATAAATGTAATAGATAAAACTGCTGAAAAGTAGACGTAAAAGTGTACCTCATTGTTTTATTGAAAAATAACCCAGATTTGAAATATTCAACATTTTACTTCGGCACATAACCAAAATGTTGGGTCACATAAATTATTGACTTAGTTTTTATTACTTAGTAACTTATTGAGTTACGTCCTATTTAACATATGTAATTCGTGCACACATAACAAAGCGAAAAAAGCAAAGCTATATAAGATAATGTAATGTTTATTCAAATTATACACACCCAAATAGTCTTAACCATTTCTCATGTCTGTGCACATACCCATTTTGTGAATTGTAGTACCATATAAATAAAAAAGTGTAAGGTCCAAACCAGTGTCCCTTTCACTTATTTCCATACCTATTCAACTATTCAGCCTACCTCAATTGTTCAGTACAAATGCTTCACGTAATTTTAAATCAAATCTAACCACTATAACCTGATTGATTTGATCAACTAGATCCCCAAATCAAAATGTTGTGAAGAACATCATAATTATAAAGAAGACCCTGATTAACAGACAAAGGGATGCATGGGTATTTTAGATGACATACTGAGCAATCATTAACCTCATTGGTCACCCCGGCTAGCTGAACTGTGGGAATCAGAACATTTTCATAACATGTTACAGTTATATTAGGAATTTCTTCGAAGATTCCCATAGTATGGACAATTTAAATGTTCACACAAAATAAATATATAATTCCCTTGTGTTTTGATTGGCAAATCCACTGCTAGTGGAACAGGGGCATATACCCAGAGGTATCATTACATACAAAGTAGGGTTGTCTAGGCTATGCCTCAAAACACATTTTATGATTGTGTTGACATAAGGATATGATTTGAGAACATGACATAAGGGAGTAACTATGGCGATATGACAAAAAATAGAGGACAACAGTGCATATTTCAACATCTGTATATCAGTGTGCTTAAATGTAACTAATATGGACATGTTAACTAAACATGACTGCAATGAAAAAAAAACAGTGGACTATTGTGTAACAGTTACTACTTACAATGCAATAGTTAAAATTAGGTGACCGATTTTTCTCAATTTAGGACAATTACAGTATCGATTGTTAAATGAGATTAACAGAATCTAGGCTTTTGGGATCTAAACAGATCAAAATCTTTTCAGCATAGCTCTAATAATCATGAAAAATATTTTCTAGATTTTGGCGTATGGGTCCAGACAAATACAAATGTATCATTCTCTTAAGTGAATTCATATAATATTAAGGTGCTTAAAAATGTACATATAGTGTGTTTAAAAAATAATCAAAAGTGATAAATCAAGCAGCTTCAAAACGTGGGTGGATTTTTCCTGACACACTAAAAACCCAATTGCTAGTATAGATAAAATTGTAGGTAAAATACCACAAATTAAAGTGGAGCGCTAGCATAAAATAAATAACATATGCTCTTACCCTTGCATATGAGGAGTGTCTAATGTTCTCTTAACCCATCCCCCCCCAAATGTATTTTTTTTAAATGAAAAACAATTCAATATAAATATCAATATTCACACTCACATTCATCAGAGCCCTTAAGAAATTGGCTCTAATGTAATTTGCATCTGTACCCTTAATGTGGTTCATTACCCTCTTCCATATACTCTTTTGGTTACTGCAAGTAAAAAGGAACATCAATTGAGCAGAAATCAATTTTAATCTACTGGCAAGTTGGAATAACAAAAGTTTGCTCACCTTATTCTGAACCAAAATACACCCCACTTGGGGTGACATCAATACCTTTGTAGCTCGAGGTTGGAAACTTCAAAAAATAAGAAATAATCCTTTATTTAGTTAACACATCACAATATCATTTATTATAGTAATGTTTATTTGTGCTTTTTTCTTTCTACAAATGTATTTATACTGTACTACAAATTTATAATTCTTGGTTCTGAAACATGAAGAAACAAATTTACCAAAATATTCAGAGAAACTGTCAACTTTCTCCTTGTAATTAATTGATTAAATGTCAAAGCTGGTTGAACATTCCCTACTCCCATTCCCTGGGCTACACGTTGGAGAGAAAGTAGCTTAAAATAGGTTGGAAATACCACCACTAGCTAGACAGTAAGAAGGAGCTCTTGCTTTAGTGTTCGACTAAAAGTATGATAAGAGCAGGAGATGGCACTGAGTGAATCTCTGTGCTGGAAAAATGTTTTTTACCCTTTTATTTTAAATTTGTATTTCTAACAGTTTGGTGTTCCTTTAATGTGTGTCTACCTCACCATTTCATTGTCAAACTTGGATATTGGTCCCTTGTTCAATAGGCAAGAAAGGAGCATCATCCCAATATGGCACAGTAGATGTATGATCTTTCTTCTTCATCCTAAGATCAGCCTCTCGATACAGTGGATGAACTGCTAGTTTGTCAAATATTTTTAAAACCCCTTGTCGTATCAGAGGTGTCTTCTTAGCCTACCACAATTTACATTCCCTTTACATACCCTTCTCAAGAATATACGCTGAATAATAATCTTGGGTGTTTCCTTCCTCAAAGAAGACATTAGAGGCCTAACAGGCAGGGTCAAGGCTGTGGAACAGGGTATGGGGTAACAGTCTCAACAGGCCACTTTGGAACAGAAGATAATGCAGATTCATCAATTTCTGCAGGAGATGAAGTTGGATGCAATGGAAGACAAACTGCGCTATAAGAAAGTATAGATTAATGGCCTGATGGCATAGACTGACCCAGCAGAATTGAAGATTATGCTAGCTTTAGTGTACTAATAATCTTAATTTTAATAACGACAGGAGGCGAGTATTTTGCATATCTCTCTTTACTAACTCCATACAGCAGTAAAGAGACACATAGAAAAAAAGAACCCATCACAGGAGAGCAGGATGTACATAAGGCAATGTGACCTCATCATTTCTGTTGGTTACCTTTATTTGTGCCAATTATCTTTTATACACTCTATAATAATTTTTGATTTTTACCTGGCATTTTATCGCTGTGGACTACAAGAAATCCTAGGCGGGGATCAAACCACCAATGCTTATACCAGTGGGCAGTCTGTCTGCCTCACCCTTGTGAGTACCTCTTTTATATATATTTTAACATCATTGTTTTATTCAGAGAGCACTATCAGTCGTCTATTTTATTCTCTTTGAGTGTTGAACATACCTTTTGAAGCCTCTTTTTTGTATTTTCTGTTGTTTTTTAAGGGACTTTGAGGGATTCCCTTTGTGGTTGCTGCCTACCCATTACTTAGCGCTGACTCTCTACCTCTATCTTGTTTTTACCTATATTATATTTATATGCCCAACATGTAAACTGTATCCACCCTGTCATTAACAATGTAGTAAGAGTAAATCTACTCATATAAGGTATAACTCTCAAGAAAGTTGAACTAACCACTTAATTAATACAATTACAACTTACCATGGTATATACATTAATTACATGACCATACCAGATATAAAATATTATAAAGCCATATAATCCATTTACTCAAAATATATACAGATGTAAATCACTAGTTAATTGCATATATACGATGTGAAAAGAAAAAAGTCTAATACAACAATCCATGCATGATATATCTGTTTTATATACAAGCCCATCCTATAATTAATATAGACATTACTCTGTATCAATGCAATGCAATCAACTGATATAGTTCATCATCAACATAAATATATATCCAACAATAATACAACAATAAATAAATGACGTACAATAGACACATATACAATATGTCACAAATGGCAATATAGCATTATCCATTTCCATTCAATTATCCAATATATTTTGAGTGAACAAAACTTAGGATCCAATGTAATCGCTTCAAATGTGCAAAAGTCTCATAGTCCATCTTCAAATCTTTCAAAAGGTCCATATCCCCAGCGTCATGACCATCCAGTGAGCTACACATGGAAATCTAAATAAACAAGTGAAAATAAAAACAATCAATCAAGATATAAAACTATACAATAGCAGGGTGGATACCCACAATCCTCATAGAAGAATCACAAAAATGGGGATTGTCCCCCCCGGCCCCCACCCCTGAGCTGTGAGTGGGGGCCCTAAAATTAACAATAAGGGGGGGACCTATTGTCCCCCCCCGGCCCCACCCTTGAGCGGCGGGTGGGGGCCCTAAATACAAAGGGGGGGACCCTAGTCACCCTTCCCCCAAAAAAATTATTTTTAGCTCCCTACCTACCCCCCTCACCCTAAAAATAATGAGGGGGGGACCTTTAACTAAAAACCTGTTAAAAAAAAATTAGATAAAAATAACTTACCATATGATGTTTTCTTTCTTCTACAATCTTCTTTTTTCAGCCCCAAAAAAGGCCAAATAAAAACCCATAAGAACCGACGCAATTAAAAAAAAAACAAAAAAAAAAACGAGCGCACAAAAAAATAATCCATCTTCACCCATGGAGGGCTCCGCGCAGACTGAGCTCTGCAGGGCGGGGGAAGGCTTATAAAGCCTTGCCACACCCTGCAATTAGGCTAAAAACACTCTGATTGGCGGTATTGCGAGTAGGGGCACAATTTACTAATACTAAGTAATTTTTACTTAGTATTAGTAAATTAATAGGGGGCTGATCGAACCGCGCATATGTTCGCCGTCCGTGGCGAACGCGAACACGCTATGTTCGCCAGGAACTATTCGCTGGCGAACCGTTCGGGACATCACTAGATACCAATATTTTTATTTCTTATTTTCTTGACTAGCAATAGTTCTCTGGGTAGTGATTTCGCCCTGTTCTTATAATCAATCAGAACCTCAGTCTCGTATCCCCTAGTGGAAAAAGCTCTTATCAGATTCTCAGCACGTCTGTCATAGTCATTGTCTTCAGACACAGTGCGTCTTGTCCTGACAAATTGTCCATATGGTAAATGTTTGATGAAGTGTGGTGGGTGGAAGGAACTAGCATGTAAATAGGAAGCCCGATCTGTCGGTTTTTGGTAAAGATCAAACACTATACACCCATCACTCTCCTCCAGTGAGACATCCAAAAAATGCATCCTATGGGCATCATATTCTACAGTGAATGATATGGTGTCTAGTCTGGTGTCCAATCTCTCTTTGAAAAGAAGTAAGTCTTCGATATTCCCTGTCCAGACAAAGAAGATGTCATCTATGTAACATAGCCAATTAACAACAAATTGTTGAAACAAAGGATCAGGATATATAAAGGCCTCCTCAAATGCTGCCATGAATAAATTGACATAAGTAGGGGTCACATTGGACCCCATCACCGTACACTGTATCTGTATCCTGAAACACAAAGTAATTTTTGTGCAACCCCATAGACAACAACTCCATAAGAAAATCTCTGTACGCCTCGCTTATCTCAAGTAATTGTATGGCTCCAAACACTGCCTCAATCCCCTCCTCATGAGGTATAGAAGTATATAGACTGTTGATGTCCATTGTGCACAATAAAGTACCACAAGGGACATCACCAATCAATTCCAATTTGTTGACAAAACCCATAGTGCTCGCACAAAAGAACGCATATTGCAAACCAGTGATTGTAAATGTGCATCAACAAATTTAAACAGCGGTCGCAGCACTGATCCACACCCCGAAACTATAGGGCGACCAGGAGGGCGTCTCAAATTTTTGTGAATCTTAGGGAGCAAATATATAAATGGGATTTTAGGATGATCCATATTCAAGAAATTATAATCTCTTCTATCAATCAATCAATCCAGTATCAAGTGCTACCCCAGTGATTTCTTTAATTCTTGCTTGTAACTCACCTGTTGGATCACACTCTAAAATCCTATAGTGTTGGGTGTTAGTCAGTTGACGATAGTTAGTCAGTTGAGTGTTATTTCGTTCTAACTGTATTGTGATATTCATATATATATATATATATATATATATATATATCACTATATATATACCTATATATAAATAAAAATATTTTAAAAAAATTATACGTATATATACATATATTAATTATACATATATATTTATGTAATATTTTTACATAATTAGGTATTTTAATTAATTACAATTAGCGGGACCTGCCTGACAACCCATGCCGAAAGTATAGGGAATTTAATTTGCTATCACTATATTTAACCCTATAACTTTCCAAGGCACCATAAAACCTGTACATGGGGGGTACTGTTTTACTTGGGAGACTTCACTGAACACAAATATTAGTGTTTCAAAACAGTAAAATGTATTACAACGATGATATCGCCAGTAAAAGTGATGTTTTTTGCATTTTTTTTACACACAAACATCACTTACACGGACGATATCATTGCTGTGATATTTTTTACTGTTTTGAAACACAAACTCAGCGAAGTCTCCCGAGTACAACAGTACCCCTCAGGTACAGGTTTTATGGTGTTTTCAAAAGTTACAGCGTCAAATATAAGGCTTGGGTTTCATTTTTTTCACATTAAAATTCGCCAGATTGGTTACGTTGCCTTTGAGACCCTATGGTAGTCCAAGAATGAAAATTACCACAAAGATGGCATACCATTTTCAATAGTAAACAACCCAAGGTATTGCAATGGGGTATGTCCAGTCTTTTTTAGTAGCCACTTAGTCACAAACACTGGCCAAAATTGGCATTTTTTGCATTTTTCACACACAAACATTAACGCTAACTTTGGCCAATGTTTGTGACCAAATGGCTACTAAAAAAGAAAGACTCGACATAGGCAACGTAACCAATCTGGCGAATTTCAATTTCAAATGTAATATGCTATATTTGACCCTGTAACTTCCCAAAACGCCATAAAACCTGTACATAGGGGGTACTGTTTTACACATTTTGTGTGCAGACTTTGCTGAATACAAATATGTGTATTTTATTGCAGTAAAAGTAAACAGTATTATGACATTGACAGTTAAAATGTCATGTAGAACAAAAAAAAAAATTCTTATTTTCTCCCATTTTTTTCATATTAAATTATGTTTCATATTTGATATTAAATGAAAGCCCTGCTTCCCCTGAATAAAATGATATATAATAAGGGTGGGTGTATTTAATATGAAAGAGGTGAATTACGGTTGGACAGACATGTAGCGCAAATGCCAGGTTTTGTTTTGTTCACAACGTGTACATTTGGCTCAGTCCTTAAGGGGTTAAACAGACAAAATGTATCCAGCTTGATGTTATGTTTTGAATCCCAAAAGCACCTGCTGTCTCTGCCATTGCTAAAGAAAAAAAAAGGGGGAGGGGTGGGGGATTAGGAGCACTAATTGGGGCTGCCATAAAGACCAATATATATATATATATATATAAAATACAGGTAAGGGACAATCAAATCTTTAATGGATTTTATTCATTACCATTTATATATAACCAACATATTCTGCAGTCCTTTAAAAAATTCAAAAGGGAAAGAACAACACTTAAATATTAAAAATCAACAAGTCCAAGAGGGAAAGATATGGAAGTGTGGTCTACCCATGATCCTCCTTAATGAAGCTTCCTGCTGTGATAGACTGTGCTGGTATTGTTGGTGAGCAATATTAGATGTCATTGGATTCCATAAGGAAACATGACGAATATTTATTTAACACTCATATGAATAATAGCAAGACACAAAAAGTCTAATTACCAATTTTATTTTTAATAACTTTGTTAAAGATTTAGATATACATATAACTATGTACACCAGAATCATATATATAAAGAAATCTTGCTAAATTGTAAATAACTGTGCCGGGTGCTACACAATGATCTTAAATACAAATATTTGTAGAGATATAAGCATAGTCTTATTAGCATATGCCTTTATTTCCTCATATTGACGTTAAGGTATCCCAGTACATGAATGTCAACATTTCAGACACTGTTAGGGACTTTATATATTTAATTATTTAAATGAACAGGAAGATAGTTAGCATACAGACAGTATAATGTGAATTGTCATGATACAGACCAAAAGTCACGTCAGAAACAGATCAATACAATGAAATTGCAATAAAGGCAATTTTTCTTTTCATCTTCTTCTTCCTTCATCTAAGTTTTAACATTTAAATATTCCCTCACTGTTTATTGTATCTACAACCACGAAGAGAGCAAACAAAACAAAAAGAGAGAGAGAAAAGGAGGGGGTGTGTGAGTGTGGAATCTTACTAACTGTATTCTTCCCATGGCTGCCACACTTTTTTAAAGCTACCATTGTGTTGTGAATCATGAGCACATATTCATTCAGGAAGTTATCCTTGATTTTAAGTGCAACTTTGTCTTTATTAGAAATAGCCATACACAGTCACACCTATGCCAGTGTCCTCCTTGCAGTTAGGGTAATTTTATTAAATAGTTTTTGCATGTGAGATGTAAAACTCCCAATTAATTGACCTAGCTAATAAAAAAGGACCAAGGATCCATGTCTATAGGCCTATGAAAGATCTCTACTAGGAGGTCTTTAACCAACTCCCAATATTTAATCACTTTGGGACAGGTCCACCACATGTGGACATGGTTCTCGTTAACCTGCTGCCCCTCCAACATATATCGGAAGTGTATGGAACTGTTTTATGGAACTGTTTGACAGGAGTGATATACCACCTAAATATGAGAGTAGATAAGTTAATCTGCCACTCTGATTGTCTCAACAGGACAGTTTGCTGCCACCCGGGTGCTCAGGTCTGGCACGTGGCTGACAGAGTGGATGGATTATTGGGTGGAGCAGGGGATGACCCAGCTTTCATGATCCAAATTAGTACCAATGACAAAGTCAGAGGAAAATGGAAAGTCCTAAAAAATGAGTTGATGGAATTAGGAAAACTGAAACTGAAAACTGAAAAAAAGATCCTCCAAGATAGTATTTTCAGAATTACTACCAGTGCTGTGAAGAAAGGCAGCGGGTGGTTTAGGGAGGTTAATGCATGGCTAAAGTAATGGTGTAGGAAGGAGGGTTTTGGCTTTTTAAAGCAATGGACCGAATTTGCCCTTGAGTACAATTTATAGACGTGATGGATTGCAAGTAAACGGGAGAGGGTCTGCTGGGCGGGGAAACAGTATGGCAAGCAGGTTGCATGAGATTTTAAACTTGTGGTAGAGGGGGAGGGAAACAGAAGATGGGGAGAGGGGCAAGATCAGAACAGAGCATGTATGTGTGACAATAGGGCCCCGGCGTGTCTGGCACTGAAGGTGTACCAGTTCAGGCATGCTATCCTCCGTGGATTCCATTTACCTAAACTGCACCAGTGACTGCTCCACAAAATGCTAGAACTCAGCCAGTGTATCCACTGGCGATGCAGGATATACTGCACTGGTAGCTGGTTACTATAGGATATAGTATCTTGTCTTCTGGCAATAATCTATGAGTAACTAGTATATAGAGGATAATAAATAGCAATATACCTGTGAGACCTCAAGGAAGAGACAAACAAGCATCTTCTTGGCTATTCAAATGCACTCATGGGGGAACTAGCAATAATAGCATACACTAAGCAATATGGCATAATAGACATAACAGAAACATGGTGGGATGAAACAGATTATTGGGCAGTTAACTTAAATGGATACACATTATTTATGAAGGATAAAAAAAGGATAGAAGGATAGACAGTTTATTGTAGAAACAGCCAGCATATATAGATCATAGCATACAGTAAAACATATTGTACATACATTTACACCAATGGGAATAAAGGACTGTGCAAATCGAACACAAAGTAAATAACTGGTTTCAAAGTGATTAATTACATTAGTTCACTCCCCCCCCCACCCATGCAAGTCTGTTCTGACAAAAAAGGCTAGCTTGATTGGCCAGATAGATACCTGGAACAACTGTCGATTTAGAGCAATCTCTGATTACATTAACAGAGCCCTTTGCTGAAGTAGATAACATGCAATTGCAAGTGTAGGTTTGTTGGCTCCAACATCAGGTAGTCATTTACAATACAGAATTTAACTTAATTAACCTCCAAAATACATTGCAAACAGTATATCATAGCATCCATTCTCTCAGCCAGACAAAACACCATGAGGTAGCACCAAAATGGCACTGAGAACTTGCAGCTCGCACAAAACAAATCAGGGGGATCAGTGTAGCAGACTCCATTCCCTTGATTGTCTCCCAAAAGACTTGTGTGTAGTCCCTTGTTATGCCCCAGTGAACACTGACCTCCCATGGCTGTTGACCACAGATTAACGACTTAACACCTTCGCTTGAGTGCTTTTTGAGTGCATTTTGTCTCCCGAACACAGGCAGCAGTACTTGGTCGTCGAACGCCTGGAACTGTTTTCGGCCTCATGTTTCCGCGAACCCGGGCAAAGATGGTACCGCTGCCCATCCCACTTCCCGACCACTAGCATTTGCTCCATAGCAGCCAGGGTGAGCGTTCATCTGTGCTTGCACAGGAACCCCCAAAAGCCGTTTGGCTACCCTGCCAAATTCCTTGGAACCATTTTGGGCTATCACCTCGTGGCCGGACGGTCAAAACTGTGTTCGACGATAACTTTCATTCTACCAAACTGATCCGAGCACTTTTTGCATATGTTGTGCGCTCAGTGGGGTTCCTTTCATGTTTTCATTTATTTTTGGGGTATATTAAAAATATCTGTAAGTTTCTGTATTTGAGAGATAATTGAGTTATACTGATTGGAGCTCAATTAGCTCTCAAACAGAGAGGCTCTTGGGAAATAAAACCTTGTATTCTTGACGTTGAAACCCAATGCTAGGGGCAAAGCATTAAAGCTGTGTGTGGCAGAAATCAGTTGTACTCCCAGGACTGTGTGTCGTCCAGTTGCTGGGGAGGAGATGAGCTATTTGCTTAGTATTTTCTTGTTCCTGATTCTACTCTTGGTGATCCAAGGGTTCTGCTACAATCAGGTCATCCAGTAAATAATAGTAATAACAATTCACATAAAGTAAAAGTGACATATGATAATATTAAATGTATGCTTACTAATGAAGGAGCCTAAATAACAAAATGAGCGAACTAGAGGCAATAGCATACACTATGCAAAATGACAGAATATGCATAATAGAAACATGGTGGTATAAGACACATAACTGGGCAGTTAACTTAAATGGTTACACATTATTTAGGAAGGACAGAAAAAACAGGAAAGGTGGTGGGGCATGTTTGTTATAATTTTAAATATTAATATTGCAGGGCATTGGTTGCGAATAAGCGGTCTATCCAATTAAGGGACCCAGATCCAAAACTGAGGTAAGTCAAAGCCCATTAGTAGGGATTCTAGGTCTACCCACCTATGCATATCAAGGGGGAAATTCCATATCATTACCTGGGTTAATTGAGTGGCTGAATAATGAAAATCTAAGTGAAAAAGATCTTCTTAGCTTCGGGTGGGTATGATAGGTTTGACAGGAATTATTATAAAGTCATTAAAGAAGAACTAGAGAAGTACTAGAGAATACATCTATGTTTTTTAATGCTCTTGCAAGGAGCAAGTCCATTTTAGATTTTGGACTTCTCGTAAAAAATAAGTTTTTAACTTGTAATTTTTCTGGCTACCTTGTCTAAAGCTCCCCTTTCATTAAATGCTATAGTGCTAGAGTTTTTCCAATCTACTGGGGATGGGGTTCGACTTATGCTGCATCTTATCATTACGAAGAGCTTTTTGAAGCTTGTGTGCTGCCCAAGCTGTAACTGTAGTGTTCCCAAGGTAGGGAAGTAACAAGAGCCTCCAGGTCGAGCCAGGATACCCACTCTGGAGTGCTTGGGGCGTAAACATTGTTTAGATGATACAACTTACTCTAGATTGTCCCAGAAACTACTATAACTCATCTCTCTGTGTCACCCTGGAAGCTCGTTGGCTGGAGTAGACATTTCTAATGCAGCACTATCTCATCCCTATCTCATCCATAATATCTCATCCATAATTTTAATGTTAGACAATTTTTGTAGTGCCAATTTTTGTAAGTGCGTTTTTTGGATAAAGGTTATATCCGCCTTTTGTCTCTTTAATTATCGCAGGAGTAGTCTCCAATTAATTGGTATGCTTATGTCATTAACATATACAGGCATACCCCACTTTTAAGTACACAATGGGACCAGAGCATGTATGTAAAACAAAAATGTACTTAAAGTGAAGCAATACCTTTTTTCACTTCCTAATGCATGTACTGCATTGCAATAGTAATTTACAGGCATAACTGATACTGTAACTGCGGATTTCCAGTGATTTTATTTCCAGTGATTAATTTAGTGATTTCCAGTGGGCTTTTATTCAGTTAAAACAAACAGTAAAAACAAAATCTAATTCCAGATTGTACCATTTATCTTTAATGTTTTACTCATCTGACAACCTTAAACAACCTTTGTATTTGTTAGCAGCTTAGTTGCACACTTTGTTTAGAAACACCTCTTCATCACTTTAAGCATTTATGGTTTAACTTTGAATCATCAGAATTGTGGCTAATGCAGCTAAGCTGCTAAGTCATAGTTATAGAAAATGGCAGGGTAAACCCTTTCACTGGGTGGCAGCCGATTGCAGAATATGGACAATGTATGGGCAGAAAAAAAATATATGTTCAGCTAGGAGTAAACATTATAAATTTGAGATGATTAACCTGTGCCATGTCAGAAGGTATGAAAAGTTCCTGCCCCAATGACACTGAACTGAGCTGCTCCGGGTGAGAATAGAACCTTCCATATTTTGTTCACTCGCAGATAGAAGAGGCGCGGGAATGTCTGTACTCGCGAGTGTACTTAAAGTGAGTGTATGTAAAGCAGGGTATGCCTGTAGTCACTTTATAAATCACTTACACCCAATAAGGAGAAGAGGAGGAGGGTGCAAGAGGGAAAACATAAATGGGAAAAAGTGTAAATATACCAAACCCTGTAAAAGACAATTTAGATAAAAATGATGAGAAACGTATTTCTGTACTCATACAGTTCAATCTAAAAACATTGCAAATATAGTAAGTGCTATGCTATGTGATAAGGTATAAGGTATAAGTAGCAAGCACATGCTCCATGTATGCATATGCATTTTACATTGCTGTAAAACAGGCTTCCCCAAATTCCAGGCCTCTGAACTACAACTCCCATGATTCTCAGCCTATCTATTTTAGTCACAGAATCATTGGAGTTGTAGTTCAGCAACATCTGGAGGGCTGGAGTTTGGGGAAGCCTGCTGTAAACAATATTGAAGTATTTAGCACAAGGGAACCCGAGCCTATGTATATCATGTTTCCTGAGAAACTAAAAACAGTGTTTTGGGGGCCATGTGCATCCTAATAATTCAATTTTACATTGCATCACCTGCGGTAGCCCACTAATCTTTTCCTTTACTATTTATTATTATTGCCATTTATATAGCACCAACAGATTCCGTAGCGCTTTACAATAGTAAATAGTAAATAGTAATAGTATTTATAAAGTGTATTTTTGTTTCTCCATTGGTGGAATTCTAGCTGTGGCTGGAGTATGGAATGATACTGATGCATGTAAAACTCCTTAGAAAATGGGGCATATTTATCAAACTGTGATCGTCTTTATTATAACGGGACTTTCTTTAAAGTCATTTGGAGAGTTTAAATAGAAATTTCTAATTCAAAAGACCATGCAATTAACGATGAAGGTGAAAGTTCCACCAATATTCTGTTGGAAAAATTGTCTGAAAAATTCATAAAATTATTATGTCCGTGAAAATGAATGCTAGGGTGCAAAAAACAGCAACAGATGAAAAAATCCAACAGATATAATAAATTGTGCCAAAACTGCAACAGATATAGTTAATTCCACTGAAAATTAGACCCAAATGTGTCAGTGAAACTTCGACAGATACCATTGATTGGTTTAGAGAAAAAAGGCAAGTTTAATATTTAATAAATGTTACCCCGGTCAATTTCTCCCTTCACATGCATTTGTTTTTACAGACATTTTCCTAAAATGTATGTCTTTTGCTGTGTATATAATTACCATGTTATTCCAACTGCATTAATTATGCATTAATTACCCTCGCACTATTGATTTGTTCCCTTTTTTTGTTTCTATTCTATTTGTTAACACAACACCATTACTACTATCACTTTAGTGTGTAATATTGATTACTATTTATTTTATTACTAGAACATATCCACTATAAATCTCAGTGGCTGATTAAATGGCGTCTTATGCTTATGTTTCATGAACTGTCAATACTCCGAGGAATTAATAGCTGCATCCACTGATACCTTAGTAGACAAGTTACATAAGCCTGCCTCTGACTTTGAGTGACTGCTTGTTTCTGCTTTTCGACATTAGTATTACTGATTGATTGTTTGGTACTACATTTGGCAGTAGATAGATATCTCTGCTTTAAATGCGTGTAACCTTTAACCCCTCATTTATCCTCTATGAAATAATTGTGCCTGGATTTATACAGATTGATTGTCTTCTGCATACTATTTGGATTCCTAACTTCAGAATATGAATAGATTCTGCATCTATTATTACTATCATTATTATGTTTTTAGTTCAAACATATTCAGCAGCACTTTACAATTTTACAAAAAAACATAAAATGGCATAGTGGAGACCATATGTCACAAATGATCACCGAAACAAGGGGTTAATGAGAGCTCTGCTTAAACCGGCTTACATACTACAAGAGGTAATGTATAAGAAGATGACAGAAAGAACAATGTGTGTGGGGTGGGGGGGGGGGAGCAGGGCGGGATATCGTCAGGGATAAGGCTGTATCTAGCTAAACTAATAGAAGAAATGATAGCAGGTAATTGTCCAACCTAATTCCCTTATAAGCCAATCCATTGCTTCTGTTTCCGACCTTAATTTTGCCAGATATGAGTCAACCCTTTGACATTTGGGAAAATAAATGTATTTGACATAGCCATAGATAAAGAAGAAATATCTGTGGGATTAATATGGGCACATCTCTGAAAGTGAGAGTTACCCAATCCTTAAAGGACCACTCCGGGCACCATATGAACTTCAGGTTAAACTATTAATAAACAATTTAACCCCCAAACTCTGGATGGCGTCCGAGCACTGTGCCACTCCACTTCCTCTGATGATACAAGGCTTTAATCAAGAAGTCTTTAAAAGGCATCTACTGACCCCTTCAACCTATCACATGCACCCCATTTAGAAAACGGTAGCTATCTTTTTCACTCAATTGTCACATTTCACTCAAAAGGAATGGTGAGCGACTGATCAGAGAGGCAGAGCTTGTTATCAGCAGTGCCCTGTCACAGGCTTTCTTATTGAATCCTTGGACTATCAAAGGTCTGGCCCAGGATCCACTAGAACCATAACAACGTAATTACAGTTGTAATGGTGCTTGAAGTGTCCCTTTAACCCTGGTCAACGCTATTGAAGTGTTTACTGGGATGAGCAGGGCAGCAGGGGTAATTATAAAAGAAACTTCTCTGGAACCTGTTAGTCTCCAAGGCAATATCATCATCCTATGATGCAGTGTACGCACTTAGGCTTAAGTGTGTTCAAGCATTTATTAGTTGGGGTTATATTTAATCTAGCATTCTGGTAGTGTCCCCAAGCAGGGCAATTCAAATCACAGCACAGGCGGGAGCGAAGGTGGGTGTAACTGGACCAATATAAGTATAGTTCATATCTATAATATTTAAAAATAATTTATAGTAATATATTAATTGTCTATGAAGGAGATTTCAGTTCAAAGGACACGCCAATCACCAAAACCAGATAGACTTACTCTGCTATTAAGAGCCTGTAACTCTTGGATTTTGCTCAAGGGCTATTACTGAGTTGACTAATTTCTCAGTTATATTTCCTAATTAGGATACACACTATCTGTCTATTCTACATTTTAGCTGTTTGTTAAAAAGGAGATTTCATTACATACAGCACTTTGATGTCTTTCACTCTCTGTGTGATAGGTTCATGGTAGATATACTGCACCCACTTTTTATTATTGGATTAATCATTTTGCTACAGGTAAATTTTTAACTGCTGATTTGTGCTTCTTTATGTTGTTAGCGCAAACCAATGTCCCTGCATTTATCGAAGCCACAATCTTTGGCGTTTTTCCCACTCACACAAACACTCAGATTTTTTCAAATGCCTTTGGTGCAGCTGGAAAATCAACAATGCAGCAGTGGATCCATGGTACTGGCCCCTCTATGACCTTATGATGAACTTGATTGTTCCATTTCTGTATGGATTGGCACACATTTCTACACAAGGAACAAAATGCCAAAAAAATCTGCCAGGGCTGGCTGATTTTCATCAATGCTCAAAACATGGATACATGATTAAAAGTGAATAGTTCTTTTGAATATTCAAATTGCTACCTACATATGTTAGAAGAGAGTTGCCCTAAAATTTTACTCTGATTTAGGAGTTCATAGGACCAAAGGCTTCAGCCCAACAATATTCTTGATAAGCCACATCCCACATTTTACCTTAAAGGAACACTATAGTCAACAGAACAACTACAGCTTAATGTTGGTCTTCTGGTGTCTACTGCCTGTCCCTGCAGGCTTTTTAATGTAAACAATGCCTTTTCAGAGACAAGGCAGTGTTTACATTACAGTCTAGGAACACCTCTAGTGGCCACGCCTCAGACGGCCACTAGAGGTGCTTACTGGGTGAGTGCTGTAGAGCAATATGTCAAACTCAAAAGCTAACATAGGCAAAATAAACAAGGTTTAAGTTTATGTGGGAGCAAAAAACTAAAACTTCAGTTTTCATAGAAACGTACATTTAATTTGAAAAGTACAGTATAACAAAAGTTGCCTAGCTGACACTGGACATCCTCAGGCTCATAGGGCTTAGAAGTAAATAAAATAGCGACTTTATTTTAACTAGACGTGCATTTGCATATAACCAATGTTTCACTCCAACCACCTTGACATATTAAGAAAAGTTTGGTAATGGGACTGAAATGGTGAATGTATGTTGTTGCACAGCTGTAAAAAAACAATTTTGTTATCTTGTTGATTTTTAAGTCCTATGTGTGTGTTCTTTACTTTGACTGAGATCATCAAACTTGATGATCTCAGCCAATCCAGTGCTTTCCCATAGGAAAGCATTGGAAGGCTATTGTGCACGTGTTTTAAAAAGCTGCGCGGCCAATCAGCATCTCCATGGGGAGCGTACAGCACCTCCATGTAGACCCAATCAAATACACTGCCCCCCATCTAATACCCTGCCCCCAAATCCAATACACTGACCCCACTACCTCCACTCTGTCACATCATGCCTTGTTCTGCGGATCAGTCTGGTGATGCTTCTGGTATCCAGTACTCCTTTTACAATTCTTGTTTAGTTTTTCTTGGTTTTTTTGGTTTTCTATTCCATGTCTGTTTTTTGCTTGTGCTGGGTTTTCTGGGTTCATTCCATTATTCCGTCCATGGAATTCACAGTCTCCTGCATTCATTTATATGTTTGTTTTATGTTGCCACACCCGTTTGTTTTCCATTTTCCTTTTGTTTCAGTCTGGACCTGTAGCACTGTTTCAAGTCTCTGCCCTTTCTTGCAGGTAAGTGCTATTGTGGTTTAGTATGGTTCTTTTAGCGAACATTAGGCAGTGTAGGACCTGACGAATATGGGGAACATTGGCGTTGTGGCAGGCTTATGCAATGTATGATCATATAATGTAACTAAATCCCCATACTTTTCATATATAGTACTTAGTTATGTCTCCTCTTGTTTTGATGATCCGCTGTAGCTGCATCAGGGTTCTGGTATGTGGCTGCTCAAACACTGGTGCTCAACACCAGAGGGCATGTGGTTGCATTGCACCAGACCCTGCTAATCCACCTCCACACTGGGACTCCTACTCTGAGAATCAGGCATACTGGGTCCCGGTCCATGCACTGCCACCCGGAGAGTGTCGGGGTCCCA